CCCCCCCCCCCCCCACAATCAGTTCCATGATCGATTCTCAAGAGCGTGTTGGGGACACCCCATGGGCTCGTTTACAAGATTTTCCACCAGTAGAAGTGCAAACCAATACTTTCGCAGACCGTTCATGCGGACATTACCGCTCGTCGCGACTATACGTGATGCGATATGCCTGTGCTGGGTACAACACTGATTGAAGCAGTGTGCGGTTCTTGCTCTGTTTTGGGTCGCGTCTGTACGGCCTTGGTTCGCATCTGGCGCTGTGCTCTGCATCTCTGGATGTTTACCGATGTTTCTATCACCCATCCATTCGCACAGTGAGATAGCTCATGGCCAAAAGCCTAAGCTGACCTCTCCCCTCCCCCAAGGTCTCCACTTCTCTCCATGCAACGTCTATGCGCACACTTGCTCGTTGTGATTTTATTTTCGAACTGCACAGATGTACATGCGAAGAGCGCAAGAAGAGCGCAATAGTACTTGCGCTAAACACTTTCGTGTTCTAAGCGATGTGGTAATTTGTTTGCCCGCCCATACAGGACTTGTTTCCAAAAGGGCTGCGATTGTATAGACCCCATTTTACGTCATGTGATTTGAAGCGCGTGGCGATACTTGGTAACCTCACATGCTATTGTCGTTTTTTCGCAATTCTTGCGTGTGTGCCAGGACGACACTAGAATGGTCGAGGTTTTGGCAGCAAAGGATGCCGAAACCGCGCATTTGTCGAAGATTGTAAGTTCCGTCGTCATCCCCGATGTTTCTGCAGGGCAACAAATGGCAGTTTGTGATGAAGAGTCGCAGGCGGTCGTCAAGTGCTACCGCAAAGAGAGGGGAAACGAACTCAATTGTGGAAAGCTTGTAGATATTTTGGAAGAGTGTGCCTCAACCCAATAACGGTGTTTTGTGCCTTGCCATTTGTGTCGTTAGCTCTATCTGACCTCTTGGAAATTCTGGCGAGTTAAGCCATGTCTGCTCTGTACAGGCCAGTAAGTTTTCTTACGCCAACACGCATGTTCGTTGGTTGCCCTACGAAAATGACGTTGATTGGTTCCGTAGAAGCGTGATCGTTCCAGCTACAGCTGATATTCCAGCAGGACGATTCGCGCGCATTCCTCCCTGCGATTGTTCCAGCCCATTGGTTCGAGAACGTGGATGGTACATGTTTGTTGACAAGCTCGTGCTGTAAGCCAGTCGAAAGGAGACGTTCTTCTTTTTCTGTTTGTGATTGCAGAACGAACCGACCCGTAAGTCTTGTATGCCTTGGAATTTGGAGTTTCAAGGATACCTGACAAAGTATTGCAAGATTTATTTTCGTGCTGGTTGTTGAGGGATTTTAGGAACTTTGTCCTATTTTTTCACTATTTCCTTGCTATCCAGATTGTTGAATATGTATTTTCACCCCTCGAAGTAGGATGTCCCAACATCGATGTAGACCAGATAGGTACAAGAGTGAACCTGCTATGGCGCACAAACGCAGTGTTGCTATTCAGGCTGTATGTCTAACACTGAGAATCTATGAGATAGCTCGCTCGATACGTTCGTGGTTTTCGAAGCGACGGGATAGGTAATTCTTTGAGCGAAAATAACGCGCGGTAGGCACGCGTGAAATCAGGCAGGGTCTAGGACCATAAACGTCCCCCCGTTGCCTGGGGTCAATCAAGGGCCCCACGAATCGAAGGAGCTGCTGATGCGTTGCAACCCCCCCAGCCCCATTTTTCGGGCGCTAAAACCAGTTTGGTGAAGGCGTTGATTGCATAGGATTTAGTATGGGTACGTAAAGTCTACATTCCTATTGGCTATATATTTATTGTATATCACACTATCAATCCCATATTATAAGAGGTGTATATGGATTATGTGCGACGGTATTGAATCTTGCCAGTATACAATAGTGCATAACATACAGGTAAACCATACTAAATCCTATACAATTCCTCTAGGAGACCGTTACCGTCTCTTAGAGGTCTCACAGCGGGAAAAAAGAATGTGATCGAAAGATCACGTTCACTCCGAAGCTCCGAAGCATGCACTTCTCTGACCTGAGCGCCCGAGGCGCGAGGAATCACACCATCGGCCGTCCTGCACTACTTTGGACGCCCTCAGCAAGTTTCAGCTTGAGTGGCACCTCCTGCGTTAATGTTTGGCTGTGTCGGTGATCGGCCTTCTCAAGCACGAAACACGAGCATGCAGCAGGTGCTTGCGGCAACAAGTTGCTCCGATCTCGACGAATTTGTGCCTAAAATTTGCCTACCCGCCATGAAAAATGGAAGCCTCGTTCAATCTACAAGATGTACAGCCCGTTCGACGCTGGAATGTCTGTGTGTCTACGTCGGAACACAGACAGTCATCCCATTCATGCAAATGCCATTGTTGTACAATAACGCCAACGTGTGTGTTAGTTCCCTACCTACCATTAATTTTCATTCTACAACGGGATTCGCCAGGGATTAGCCTGCCGACGAGAGGTCCGGGACACACGTGCTCTGTCACCTGCACAGCGGATGCATATTTGAGTCATTCTGTTCTTGTTTAACGCGCGCGCGCATATATTTGTTTGTCGGCGACCCCCCCACACATCCAACCTTTTACAGCGGATTGACAATGAGAGCTGTAGATGTTGAAACAATGCCAAGAAGGTGGGGGACACATAAAGTTAGTTGTGTTTCCTTGGTTGAGTGGTTTCCCGGGATGAAAGCATAAACAAACTCGGTCTTGAATTCGCCTTACCCAGGGGTTTTGTCTCATCAGATCCATGTATTCATTGTGACTGATTGGTGATGATTCACACCACCAACTTGACAGCATGAACTGGTGGTGGGTGCACAAAGCTTCACGCATAAAAAGTTTCTCCTTCGGTGAACCACTTTCTCTTCTCGTTGGAACACATCCTTATCATCCATCCATACATTGTACAGTAACAACTCCGATCTCGACCAACTTGCGCGTGCGCATATAGTTGCCTACCTGCCATTGAATTCCAATCTACATCGGGATGATTACCTTTCGAGGCCGAGAGTAGCCTGCCAACGTCAGGGTCGGGGCATAGCTGTACCTGCCCCGCGGTTCCGCCGCGTGTCGGAGGTTACATGGTTATGTTTTGTTTTACGCGCGCGCATAATATTCTTTGTCGGCTCCTTTGACAATACCTTCCTTCACTAGCGACATCAAGAACATATGATGCATGATGGGTTATTATTATCCATGTACGTGTTCGACATGTAGCGAATACTTGTTAACGCGCGCGCATACTAATTTTTGTTGACTTCTCGGCGGAACACATCATCCATTACACAGACAGCAGTTTGTTTACCCACGATCTCGACAGGTTTGCGCGTATAGTTGCCTACCTGCCATCAAATTGAAGCCCCGCTGTCCCACATACGCATACATATCAATTCCTGCCTCGAGGCCAGGACAAGCCTGCCAACGGGATGTTCGGGGCACACCTCTGCTATACGTGACGCATGATAGGTTTTTCCGCCCTGTTTGGACGGACACATGATAATTTGCTCTCGTGATTTGCGCGCGCTCCTTCGACCATCAAGTTGTGCCATGTTTGGCACCCGCTTAACTTCGGATTTACCACATTATTATCCACCTCCTTCTCGCACCTGCAGCACCTCATGCCACCTAAAAAAAAAACCCTAGTGGACCAGCACGGTTGCCCGAGGCAAGCTGCGATACAATATAAATATGCATCCATTCAAATCCGTTGTACAATAACTTCCGAACAACTAGCGCGTGCATATATGCACCTTCCATCAAATTCCAATTTACAACGAGACTACCCACTTCGAGGCCGGGATAAGCCAGACAACGACATGGTCGGGGCCTGTCTCGCGGAGGCTGCTTATTCCGCCGCCGCGTTTGGCGGTTGTATATGCATGAATATACAGTTGGCGCCCGCAGTTAAGAAACGCTTATTTCAGGTCCAGCCTCGAATTCTTATTGTGGGCTATATACTCAGCGTATGTCGTTCAGTTTCATATTCCAAGTTTCTTATTTGCTCGTGCAGCCAAATCCTGCTGAATTTCTTAAATCGGCAATTTCTTATTTCTCTGCTTGCATACTACACAACGTTCCAAATATACAAATGATTTGCACTGCTTTCCTCGACCCCCGTACTCAATCAACCCCGATTCTCACTACCGACGGCTGCACGTAAGGCCACTCCCTAGAAGCGAAATGTATCCAGCGGCAACGTCTCGCAATCGCTACAAGGTCCTGTACCCCCCTCATGAGTGAGGGCTGAAACTAAACAAATGCATAAACACCGCACGCTGACGTGCCAACAAGGAAAACTACCCCGTCATTATGTTGCAAGCTCCGTGAGCCGACCATTTGGGGGTAGTCACCCTTTTGCGCCTCCTGCTCCCTTCCTTTGGGTCTACCTCTAGGATAACCCACACCCCAATTGCGACGTCTTCATCCGTGCTGTACGACTCCAACGGCATCTTCATGCTGAATTTACGCGTGCTTTGGTCACAGTGCAGGATGACGCGGTAGTCGTACTCCTGCCACGAAGCGGGGTGAGAACTGCGACTAATTACCCCTCCGAACCAACCCAACCCGAGTTTCACGAGAATCCCACGCTTCACTATGGGAGAGGGGGGTCGGGGGAGAGGGGGAACGAACGAGAGAGCTGTGGGGTTTGTTTCTTATTCGACACACTCCCCGTAAACCCTCGTTTCTCATGTAGTAGCGCAGCGGTCGCCGCTGTGTTTCTTATTGCGACATTTCTTATTGTGTGACCCAGGTTGAGCTATGTTTCTTAACCCTATTTTCTTATTTTTCGTGACAATGTGAGCCTCAATTTCTTAACAAAATATTTCTTAACTGCGGGCGCCAACTGTACTTGTTTTTTCGCGTGCGCGCAGAGAGGTATGAAAGGAGCGGTTTGTGCGAGGCGTATTTGTGTATCTTTCTTCCCGAAAAGTCATGCACTCACTCTGGATACGTGCCATTGACAAGTTCCTCGACGCTGGAATAATAGCTGTGTGTCGGCCTATTTCGACTACCAACGAGAGGTTCGGGCCACACCGCGGCAACTTTATGCGGTGTTTATTCCACAGCATGTCGCACGCACACAAGTTGATGATTGATGACTCCCTCTTTACTGGTCGGAACGAACCCATCCATCAATATGCATTCACTGCACAAAAACTTCTGTCTCGAACAACTAGCGGGTGCATATAGGTCTCTACCTGCCATGAAATTCCAATCTTCGAGGCGGGGGTTAGCCTGCCAATGACAGGGTCGGGGCAAACCTCTACTCTTCACCTGCCCCACGGAGGCTGCTTGTTTGTCGCCGCCGCGTTGACAGTTACATAAATTTATCTGTTCGTGATTTTTTGAGCGCGCGAATAGAGGGACTTCGACTACCTTCGCCTTCAGGAAAATTAACTGGCGGCATAATATATGCTTCCGTCTCGAGTGTATTTTGTTTGTGTTTTTATTATTAGCATCGACCGCGCTCATCGGCTGACCAATGGAAAGGCGTCAGTCTTAGTGCGGTTGAAAACACAAAACACTTCTATTTACCATGAACTGGGACCCCGTTTTTGTTTGTGTGTGTGGATTTTGTCGCGCCGTTTTGAGAGGCCTCAAGGTTGCTAGGGTCATATATGGTAATAGAAACAGTATCCCAAGCTTTGACAGAAAGGAGCGTCGTTGGTGTGATGCTGCGGCATGCGCGTTTCTGTTGGTTGTTTGTTGGTTTGTAGAAAACCATTCTGCAGGTCAGCTTTGGGACGACCATTGATAAATATGCCATGATATCAAAAAGAATCATCTATTAGTATTCTCCGTGCATTACCACATCATGATCCACCTCCTTTTCTCACACCTGCAGCAGTGCATACCACCTATAAAAAAAACTCAGAGGACACGCTCGGTTGCCCGAGGCAAATTGCGATACAACAACAGTTGCATCGTTTAAGTTAACAAACCGCACTAAGTCCTTCTTAAATTTTCAAGCTCGATAGAGCGTGGGTCTCTATTGACCTAGATTCACTTTTTCTGTCCCTGTACTACAATTTTTGATTCGTATTGCCCACCCATTGCTCGATAGGGCCTCGAATGTTCATTTCGAGCCACAGTGAGAACCTCGTAGCGCTTCAATTATGGTTCTGTGGGGAATCGCAAACCATGACGCCTGCCCGAGCTTGAGCAGCTCCCACCTCCTGTGGCCGACATGACTCGGCCTTGACTGTTCCTCGTCTGTTCCACCATGGGAACGACCGGTTGAACAGAGAAATGGGGTCCTGCCTGCTGCGCGCCACGACCTCCTTATTTTTACTCTTGACTGTTTGGTTCACATGTGGCTGCTGTAGATGGTCGGAATATGCTGCAAAGCTCGTAAGTTATATCGTCTTAACCTCGTTGTACCGAGCGTGTTCTCGAGAGTGAATGACTTGTCCGCTCTCTGCTCCCTGCTCTCGCCTTTCGCCGGTGGGGTCCCCAAGAAAATGCCAATTTCTTGCCAACTCGGTAAAGGGGCTACCCAGCATCTAGCTGCTGTATGGGAGGCAATGAATGGGTGCTGTCAGGGAATGGGTATCACCATGATGTTTGCTGCAATGCCTACGTGGTAGCAGCTTCTGGGGATTCAGAGCGGCGAGGAAAGTGCTTCTTTTTGTGCTCGTTTTCGCCTCCTTTCAGAATTCTGTCAGATTTGGCTCACACGCGCTTGACGTCGCTCTTTTTTGTTTTTTTATGTGATATATTAATTTGTTCGTTATTCTTTGTTTTTCTGTGTCCCCCGCCCGTCCATCGTGTATCGGTGCGCATCTAACACAGACGGCAGGCGTTTTGAGGTG